AAAAAAAATTTACTATTCATTAATATTTTAATATTATTTATTATTTTAATATTATTTAAAAAATAATATTTTAATCATTTACTCACCAAATCTGATCTTAGTTTCTACCTACTAATTTCTTCCATGCTAAGGAATCTTAATGCTGAAAATTTATTTTTATTATTTTTTTTTTACTATTTACTATTTACTATTCACTTTTTACTATTCAATTTTCTTAAAAAAAATACTAAATAAGTTATCAAAAATTTTAACTTCTCCTTATAAAATTACTATAATTTTATATCCAAAATTTACATTTTTCTATCCACTAAAATTATTATTACTAATAAAATGCTAAAATTTACTACTATATATATATATATATATATATATATATTTTTTATTTTTATGGGTCTTACAGTTCCAATGCCACGAATAATTGAGAAAATCACCTTTGACTTCCAATATTCTAATGAAAGACCATGTATGCATACTCAACATTGGATTTTCACGAGTTTCGTAGAAGCCAAAACAAATTCTTTAGTCCAAGAAAAAAACACAAGGATTCTGAGAGATAAATTCCAAACTCCAACGTTCAAAACCCTTCTCATATTCTTGAGAGAACAAATAGAAAATTCTCATAACACTTTGCAAAGAGGAATGACTTTCCATATCAAGCTTCTTTTAAAGATCTAAATGCGTGAGATGTTTATCTCATTTTCTTAACAAAATACACCATTTCAAATGATTTTTGCACTTCTCTAGATCAATAAGGTAAACTTCTTCAGCAATCTACACCAATATTGTATCTCCCTTTATATAAGGAGGGAATATCTTAAAAACCCAGGCAAATATATATTTTTTGTACCCACATTTTTTAAGAAGATTTAGATGAATAGTGCTTAATCTTGTAAACAATCCTAAAAGATATAAAACTCTAAATATAATTTAGGTGAATTTTCAATTTTATGCAGTTTTGATTCCGATTGCCCTTGTTTCATTTTATAATGTTTGCTTTTGTGAGCCGTGGCATTAGTTTATTTATTTAAATTGGAATGCATTCTTTTCATTTTGAAAAATATATTACTCTTTCATTTTTATAATCCTAATAAACTGAAGCTATTATATGTTTCAGGTTTTTAAGGATGATGAAGGGTTTAAAGCCGCATGGTTTCCGGCCAATAGTTTGAGTTTGAAGGATGGTAAAGCATATGTATGCTACAATTCACTTGTAGCTGCTGAAGGCTGGTCAAGTATCTTTATGCCTGTACTTTGGTTAGAACAGAAGCATCTTATTCATTAGTTGGCAAATTAATTCATACTTTAGGCTAGAAATTAATTTTGGATAAATCATGAAAAACAAATTTATTCCTTTAAATTATTTTGTAAGATATCATTCTCAAACAATAAATTTATAACTTATTATTTTAAGAAAATGGTTATGAAACTCCTCTCACAATTCTACCCATCACTCGGTCTCTAGTTTCATTAACAAAAAGACTTCTTTCTACATTCAAATTCAAACTTTTTAACTACTCCAAGAAAGTAACTTCTCATTGGCAACATACAAGTTTTCAAACAATATTATTTTCTTCATTCCTTTAATGCAGCTGTTTCTCGTTGGGCGAAAGAGTAAAAGTTTTCTCGTTAGGCGAGTATTGATTTACTAAGCAATTAAGTAAGGGATCCTAAAATGACTTCTTTTAATTATCGTATGTTTGAATTACAAAAGTTTCGACATAATTAGTTATGTTCCCAAAAAATGTTTAAATATTTAATTTTTCATGAAATAAACAAAAATCTATGACATAAAGATAAATAAATAGTCATGATGAACAAGTTATCATCAAACTTATCATATTGGTATCTTCTTTTCTTTTTGGGATAAACAAATCTTTATATGTTAAGATAACAAGAGTTATCTTAGCTATTGAGCTTTCATGAAATAATAACTTAAGATTTGTTTTGATTAAGTGTTATTACTTCCTTTGGTTTGTCATGCCTTTATCTTAACCCAATTTGTTTCTTGGTCTTTAATGGGAAGATGAAGAAAATGTACAATCATGACATTGAATTAAATTAAAGATCTTTGATATATTTTGTGAAGGAAATTGTTGTATTGACCATTAACTTATATTGACTTTGGTAATAAGTTAAATTGAATTTGATAATAAGTTAGATTTTAAGTAGTATATAATGCCTAACCTATAGTATGTTCCATATTTTTATATATGTTTCATATAATTTTTGTAGAGAGTCTGCTTTATATTTTCTTCATAGTTTAGTTTGATCCTTCATGTGTTTGTTTTTTTTTTCTTTTATTAATATGTAATGTAGTAATTGAATTTTAGAGTGGCTAGTCCAATTGTGACAATATAATGGATACATTATCATAAGTTATGCTCATCATAAAAGTTTGCTCTATTTTTTAAACGTATTTTTTTACATCATAAACTCTCCTATTACAAACACTCGTCAACAAGTACATGATGTATTCTATTCTAATTTCTAATACAAATCCAGGATACAAATTATAAAGTTCAAACGACAATATTATTATTCTACTACTTAATACTCAAGTTTTGATTACCTTCTTATATCCTATTTACAACAGGAGACAAACTTACTCTATTTCTGTCTTCACTGCAAAAAGCCTCCCAATTTCTAATTAGAATTTTCCCCACCCTTATGTGATATATTATTTTCTATATTTTTGTTTCTTATTTATAATTTAAGATTTAATATTTATTTGAACAAATTTATCAATAAAATTTCCAATAAGTTTTTTTGTTATCTTGTAGCAAATTCTTTCTCTTCTTCTTAGAAGTACGTAAAAGAAAAAAAGAAATCTCCAAACATATTTAACCTATTATTAATATTATGAATTAATTAGCTAATTAATTTGACATTCTTTATGCAATTGTCCTCTATCAGAACAGTAGTCATAGACGAGATGTTTCTTTGTGACATATCGGTATGCCTTTTGTTGGAGAGGGTTTAATTGGCAATGTTTGTGATCATTCCACCATAAAAAAGGAGAATAGCAGAAAAAATTGTTGGTGTTTGGGGTCTTGCAGGCATGAATATTGAAACCTTGAAAGTGAGCAGTGAAGGGTGCTTGGTTCCAGTCAATTCTCTTCCCATTAGATGCCCAAGGTTCACCATTCCATATGCTACCTGTTACGTGCATTTCTTGCCATGGAAAACTCACTCCAACCTTCGAGTTGTTCTTAAAAACCCTAATTGGTATTTCATCCACGTAAAACCTAAAAATATTCAACCTCAACAATTTTAAACAATTATTAAAGGAATTATATTATATGATAATATCATACACCCAAATGTCATTTATCATAAACATTCAACGTATATAAAAGAACAACATTATTCATGACAATTTATTTTGTTTTTTTTATATAATGTTTAACTTTTTCATTTTTATCTAATATAATTCTTAACCATTTATAATTTATAAAGTGTTAAAGTCTCTTTACTTGACTAATACATATCCCATCCATAATCCAATCCAAACAAGAGACCTTTTACTTTCTAATTAGAACACATTTTGAGAATGTAAAATGACAATTCAAAAAGATAAAATGTCTCGATAAAATGTAATTTAGAAATGCTAACTTATTTTATTTAAAAAAATCATTGAAAAAAAGTTGAGAATAAATTAGAGTTAGCAAGATAAAAAGCAAATACACCACTTTATCACCGTTTGAATCAAATACATTAAAGGGAAAACGTTATGTACGTCAATTTATATACTTGTATAAGTTATTTTAACTGTTATATATACATGGTGATAAAATAATATTTACTCTTTATTCATTCAAGTTGTTCGTGATAAGCTATTCGTATTGAATAGCATGAGTATACTAATAAATTAATCAAATTGCTATATTTTACTCAAATGATTTATTTTCACACTTTCTTAAAAGAAGTTCGAGTTATATTTTAACTTATTTTTTTCCAATAAAATCGTTTTTCATTATTGATAACAAAACACACACACGTATATATATATATATATATATATATATATCCTCGTCTCTAATTTTTCATTTTTTAAATTAGAAACTGTATTTAGAAAAAATCACACAGTGCACGAAAAATTTATTAGTTATATACTTTGATAACTGAAACATACTCTTGTAGATGTTCCATAATGTATAGCTGCAGAGAAGCAATGTTTGAACGAGATAAATGTTTAGGAAAGTTGTAGATTTTCCATAAAGTACTAGTGACAAAATGAAACTATAAATGAGGTTAGACACAAAAAGAAAAGTTGTGTTATAGTCAAAGTTGACTATGAGAAAACCTATTATTCTATTAGGTGAAGTTTTCTGTTTTATATGTTGGATAGACTAAACTTTTGTACAAGATGGATTAAGGAGTGTCTACAATCCACTATTTCCGTGTTGGTTAATGATATTGGCACATATGTTTGTCTTTGTCATCTTGTAATGATATTGGAAAAGACTCATTTAAAATATATATGAGTTAAGATAGATGATATGTATGATTAAATATGAGAGAGAGCTTAAACACATAACAATAGTACATATATGTAAATTATGTATACTTTTTTCGTTAACCCACTTATCCTACTTAATATATTTTATTTTGATGTTAAAAAAAAAACTATCCTATCAAGATATTGAATTCAACGATGGTAAAATTAGCTTACACTATTTGATGTTGGTTCCAAAGAACTCCGTATGAATGAAAATCGATTGTGGGATCAAACCAGAGAGTATGCCTTTGCTCTCTACCACCTTCATCATTTGCAAAAATATTGGTTTGCAACATATGAGGCTCTCCATTGTTTCCCAAGAATTCAAAGTCGATTTCATCATGTTTTTCTCCCATGTGTTCATACACCCTTGAAGTCAGCTACAATAACACAAAAAGATATTAAAAAATTTAGCTTAAAGTTTGAATATGTTTTTAATTCATAAATTTTAATACAAATTCAAATTTGTTTTTATCTCCAACTTTGGTTTGTCAAACTTTAAACATGGTAAAATATAATCCGTTTAACCCATGTTAAATATTTTGTCACTGTTTTTAAATTGATATTTGAATTGTTTATACTGTTTAACATATTCTAATTCAAATATTATCTTGAAACACCGTTTACATACAAATAAAAATAACGTTATTGGGTTAAGATGATTATTTTAAGATAAAAATAAATTCTAATTTCATAGTAAAGTTTAGGAACTACACACTTATTTAACCTTTAACATAATTATGTAATTATATATGTGTTTATATAAAGAACTCAAAATGTAAAAGGTAAAATCAATTAATTCACACATAAAAGGCTGTGACTACTCCTCTAGAGTCCTTGTTGGGTATCTTTATTCTCATTTGAAAGAACCCAGAAGCATAGTCCAATTTTGATCTGAAGCCAGCCCCTACATATTAAAACAGTAGTAAATTTCAGAATTAAACTTTATCACTCTTTTTTTTTTCATAGTATAAGCTACTACACATGCATATGTGTTTGCTGATACGAAGGTACGTAGGTTGTCTATGCAAGACTCTCTCAGATGACATAATACATAATAATCAATAAATATTTGTACAAAATGAGCAATACTAAAATGAAAAACATAATTATATTGTGTAGCCAAATAGCATATATATTAGGTAGCACAGTTAAAAGAGACTCTTGTCTCTTTAATCAAAGACGTATACGTGTTTTACATGAATAAAATTATAGAAACCTGAAGTTTTATCAATTGAGAGTTGAACTTCTCTGCCATGTTGTAGAAAGAAGACATGGCGGTTTCCCCATACAACCTTGTAGTTCTGTTGGAAGCTAACATCAGCAGTTTTTCTGCCATATACTATGACCGCTGCCACAAACAGAAGAAGGAGAAAACAGAAGCTGCAGAAGAGTTTAACGGTTAATAAATTACCATAAAAGCGACATAATTAGAAGAGAAAAAAAGGCACTTACGTTTGTTGTTTGTGCAAATGAAGCATTGTGTGAAAGAAAGTACATGTGAAGTTTGTTGTGATTTTGGTTGTAATTTATAGCAATGATTGTGGATTATGTGCAGAGTATCACAGGATAATGAATCTTAACTAGATTTGGGTGAGGAAGAAGTGAAAGTGTAAAGTGATAGATACGTTCATTAAAGCAGCACACAAGTTGTGGCTCATAAGCTTCTGAATGTCCTATTTATTCCCTTCAACTTGCTCTATTTTCACGTTACTCTTATGCCTTCTGAAAGCTCCCTCTTTCTTTCTCTGCACCACCCCTCTAAAGCTTATCAAAATCCCACTCCCTAAACACATACATTAATAGAAATCTGTATATGATATATAAGAAAGAACACATAAATTTATTTTTTTTAAATTTTGAATTAAAAATAATAATTTTTTTATGACTTGAGTTTAGATGTGAATTATTTCTCACATGAATCTTATTGCGATATGTCCTTTAATATGTTCTAACAATTTCTAGGATCGATACGTGTTAAAAATCTACGAATGAGTCTAAACCTAATATTCATTAGAAATAAAAAAATTAATATTATATAAAAAAACACATAAATTTATTGTTTAATTAAGATTTTAAATTGAAGATATATAATAATCTATTATGTAAATTGAGTTTAATATAATATTTCTTTCGTGAATTCTTCTGATAAATCCTTCAATATGTTTTAACAATTTCTGTGATTGCGCTAATCTGGAATTTGAAATCTTGTTTTCTGTTATCTGAATCTTCTACTTAAAAAAGGAAGAAAGAAACTCAAGTTGTCATGCAAAAGGACATATCAATACTTTTTGTAAACTAGTCTTTTTCATAAGTGCATAAAGCGCTCTTACAATTGTTGAATATTTTCAATAATACTTTTATTACGATTACAAACAGAAAATTCGACTCTTCCATGTTATTTTATTATTATTATTATTATTATTATTACTTTCAAGTCAATAATTCTCAATGATATATTAAATTTTATTTCGATTTTAATGGCTAACATTTGTAAGTGAAAATTCACTATAGCCTTTTTTCTTTTCTGTATGACGTTTCCACGTGAAATTCTTTTATGTCTCAATCAGATTTTTAAATTGTAAAATTTAAAAATATGTTTTAAATTATATAATTTAAAATACGTTTTAAATCTATATATGCATTTTGTTAGACCCATTAAAATCCACTCAAAATCCCATTTTAGTGGATTACATGTGTCAAGGTAGGGGATCCGAAAATCAGATAGTAAAAGACAGGTGTGTGATGCAGATTGAACGTTCGGTTTTGACGGTAGAAGCAAAACTCAGTTTTCAAAAATGCATGCCACTTTTGCATGCACCCTTCTTTCTCAAAGTTCTGAACTTTAATTTTCTCCTCATTCTCTCTAAAACCCCCTACTTCTCTCTAAGAAATCTTAATCTTTTCTTCTTCCGATCACCACTCAGACACCGTCTGAACACTCCCGGCGTTGAGGGCGTTCGTTTGAACCGATCAGTTTCGGATTCTGGACTGGTAAGTTCACCTCTCTCAGCTAAGTGGTTTTTCTCTGTACATGCAACCTCAGTTTTTAGTTACATAAGTTCCTTAACCCATTTCTGAACGTCTTTCTGGTATTTCATGTGGTTAGTTTCGTAAATCGTGATCGTAGTCTTATAAGAAATTGGTGGTGACCCATTCTGTTCAAATTGTGAACGTTCGGTCACGCTTAGAGGTAAGGGAAACTTATATAATTTGATTTAAATTCTTGTTTGAACGTTGTCATGTTTGCATGATACGTTGTTTGACTTATTTGATGAATATGAGATATGTGTGCATTGCTTGATTGGACGTGTGGATGGATGAATGATGCATGTGGTGAATTGAGTGGAGATACGGATTGATCGTCAACTGTAGTATTCTGAGTAAAGGTGATAATCTAGTCGAGCGTCCGTCTATATTAGGTTCTCTTATACAAGGAATTACGGTAATAAAGAGCGTGTTATAATATTGGAATGTAAATATGAGTGATCAGCCTAAGTGTAGTTCTCCTTTAGACTTCCTGAACAGTTTAGTTAACGTGTCATATACTATTCAAGGTCGTAGACGTTATCATTCTTTTCATTCAGAATAAGTGGTGGCTCAATTGTACACACACACACACACACACACACACACACACACACACATATATATATATATATATATTCATTCGTTTCTGTGAGTTTATTAGCGATCGGTCTTGGACCAATCTTTCAGTCTCAGTAGCACTCGTTCCTAATAAGTATTTGGTCTTGGACCAGCGCTCGTCCAATAGTGTTCGTTTCTACAGGGCTCGGTCTTAAACCAAGCGCTGGGTCTTGTTTTCTTTAATATATTATTACTGTGCTTAGAATCAGAGTCTTCATTCAAACTAGATAGCGTTCGTTACTCCATAGTTTCTCATCAGTATTAGTATTTAGTGTAAATCAGTGTTGGTCTTTAAAAGGTGTTCGGCCTAGAGTCTTAGTACTCGACCTAGGCTTCGTGGCGTCCGGTTGAATTCTTAGGAGTCTGTTTATTGGAATAGATGTGTAGCGCTCGGTCTTGTTATACCAGTCGTATTTGAGCTATGATAAGTACGTATGATCTTATTTCATTTGAATATGTGGATGATAAAGTATGGGAGAATTTGAAATGTGATGTGTATGAAATAGTTGTATTATGAACGAGTATTCCAGGGAGGAATAACTCAGAAAGTGGTTATTGATTGGTAAAGTATGAATGTGGGTAAAGCTTAGCGGACGTTCATCCTGATATTCCATGATTACTTGTTCTCATGTAGAGAGGAGTAAGTCACGTCTGGGAATGGCAGGAGGTCCTAGTCCATAAGGTTAACTTGGACGAAATGGATCAACCTCGGGTGGCAACTGTTGAGGGTATCCCAGTTACTACATCACCCGGGTGCATGAACGTCGTAGCTACAGAGGATTCATACAGTCCGAATAGTCAAAGTCATGTGGTCGTTTTTGCATGCCTTGAATGTATGAATGATTGAATTGAGTGTCGTTGGTTTATTTATGAATATTGTCTGTTGTTAGGGAAGAAATTAAATTAAATAAGCTTACCCTGTTTATCATTTTTGTCTGTGTTGTACGACCTGTCGTTGTCCTGTTACAATGATCATCCGTGTGGATGTGAGCAGAGGGAGAAGAGCTGCTGGAAGAATTGTTGGAAGACGGTAGGAAGTGGAGGCCGAACCTTGAGAGCGTTCGGTCTGGTGTTGGCTTTCTCTTTTGTAAAGACCGTGCAGTACTAGTGTATTTTGTAAAAACGTTCGATCTAGTAGTAACTAACCTTAGTTTTTAATTCCATGCTATTAATTAAGGCCGTTCGGCCGTAATTGTATTTAGCCGAGCGTTAAACTGATCTGTAGTATTATTAACATGTGATGACCCTCGTATATGATTTTACACTGTATTTTTGGGATGTTACACATTTTAGGTTATATAATTTGAAAATATATTTAAAATTGTATAATTTAAAGTATATTTTTGGATTAAAAAAGGATATATTTGGATTTTGTAATCTATAATGTATTTTCAAATTTAAATACATTTTTAATGGCACAACAAAATCTTTCTAAATTACATGATCTAAAATATATTTTTAAATTAAAATATTATTATAGATTATATAATTTTATATTTTAAATTGTATAATTGATAATAAGTTTTTTTAATTTCACACATTTCACAATTCAAAATGTGTTTCTAAATTATAAAATAAAAAATATATTTTTAACTTATGAATAATTTGGACCTTTATGACCCCAGAAGTGTGTAGAAAGATTGCAGAACAACCAAACCTTTTTTATGTAGATGACTTAAAAAGGAAATAAATATAATCTATTTATAGATGTTATTATTATAACTAATAATAATAATTATTATTATAATAATAATAGAAAATTGTGATTCTGAAGGATCAAATATGAAAGTAATTTTATTTTGACGAGTTAAATCCTTACTGTGATGATCTAATTTGTGATAATGAGTAGTCAGTTGTTGCTTGCTTTCGTATGCATGTTGCTCTCTTGACACACGTGATTAGAAGATCAAAAAATATTACAAGCAATAGTTAACGTCTGGATGATGATAAAGTAAAAAAAAAATAAAGATATAAATAAAAGGAATAGAAATGTGAAAGTGAAGTTTATAAAATTGATTAAAATGGAGAAATAACCAATATAAACGCTATGAGAATTTGAATGAGAAAACGTGAAAAATTATGTAGATAAACAAGAAAATGGATTTTTTTTTTTTAAGTTTTATAGTAACCAAAATCAATCTCTCATGAAATCTAAATGATTACTATTGCCCTACAAAAATGTGGATAAGATTCACGTGATAGTCTTTTTCATGTACACAAATCTCCAGACATTGTGGGTAGTGTGTATTGCTTATGCTTGAGTACTGTAAACAATATAAATGTTGTTATACTTATTGATATTTAGAAAAATAATATTTTTCGCAAACAATACGTTCATTTTGATATATATTATAAAAGTAAAATAATCATAAAAAAAAGAAATTTTTGTATTTTTAAAAGGAAAAATTACTATAAAATAAGTATAAAAAAAACTTTATAAGACAAAATATCATTACTATTCTAATCAAAATGCGAATAAACGTTGTGATAGTTGGGCTAAATTTTATATAAATAATAATGTGGCACTTAAAGTAAGAATAAATTAAATTTGAGATTTTTTTTATGGTTAATCAAACAGGTAGGTTTAAGTAAATTTATGTAAATTGATTAATTTAATATTAGAAAATAAATTTAAAGTAATATTTAATACATGTTTAAGCGATGATATTCACTAAATAAAATTGTGGTTAGTGTTTTATTTTGAGCACTATAAGAGCCTAAAAATAATAAGGCTATTGGGCCTTATGTTGAGGCAATCAGACCATAAGCTAAAAACACATAACATTAGGAAAGAGTTTTCTAAAGATCAAAATTCCTTCATTTTGCCAGCTTTCTTTCTCTCTCTAAAACCATTGC